TCCCTGACCCGAGTTACCCCTGATGATTCGGGGCTCTGGACGCCTCCCGAATAATCCGGGGTAACTTCGACCGGTACAACTCGGGTTTGGATTCCCGAAAAGGAACCCGAGTTATCCCTGACCCGAGTTACCCCTGATGATTCGGGGCTCTTGGGCGCCCGAGTTATCCGGGGTAACTCGGGTCCGGGGTAACTCGGGTTCGGATTCCCGAAAAAGGAACCCGAGTTATCCCTGACCCGAGTTACCCCTGATGCTTCGGGGCTCTGGACGCCCGAGCTATCCGGGGTAGCTCGGGTCCGGGGTAACGCGGGTTTGGATTCCCGAAAAAGGAACCCGAGTTACCCCTGACCCGAGTTACCCCTGATGCTTCGGGGCTCTGGACGCCCGAGCTATCCGGGGTAGCTCGGGTCCGGGGTAACGCGGGTTTGGATTCCCGAAAAAGGAACCCGAGTTATTCCTGACCCGAGTTACCCCTGATGCTTCGGGGCTCTGGACGCCCGAGTTATCCGGGGTAACTCGGGTCCGGGGTAACACGGGATCGGATTCCCGGAAAATGGAAACCCGAGGTCATCCCTGACCCGAGTAACCCCTGAGATTCGGGGCTCTGGACGCCGAGTTATCCGGGTAACGGGTCGGGGTAACTCGGGTTTGGATTCCCGGAAAAGGAACCCGAGTTAGCCCTGACCCGAGTTATCCCTGATGATTCGGGGCTCTGGACGCCCGAGTTATCCGGGGTAACTCGGGTCCGGGGTAACTCGGGTTTGGATTCCCGGAAAAGGAACCCGAGTTAGCCCTGACCCGAGTTACCCCTGATGATTCGGGGCTCTGGACGCCCGAGTTATCCGGGGTAACTCGGGTCCGGGGTAACTCGGGTTTGGATTCCCGAAAAAGGAACCCGAGTTATCCCTGACCCGAGTTACCCCTGATGATTCGGGGCTCTGGACGCCCGAGTTATCCGGGGTAACTCGGGTCCGGGGTAACTCGGGCTTGGATTCCCGAAAAAGGAACCCGAGTTATCCCTGACCCGAGTTACCCCTGATGATTCGGGGCTCTGGACGCCCGAGTTATCCGGGGTAACTCGGGTCCGGGTAACTCGGGTTCGGATTCCCGAAACAGGAACCCGAGTTATCCCTGACCCGAGTTACCCCTGATGATTCGGGGCTCTGGACGCCCGAGTTATCCGGGGTAACTCGGGTCCGGGGTAACTCGGGTTTGGATTCCCGAAAAACGAACCCGAGTTATCCCTGACCCGAGTTACCCCTGATGATTCGGGGCTCTGGACGCCCGAGTTATCCGGGGTAACTCGGGTCCGGGGTAACTCGGGCTTGGATTCCCGAAAAAGGAACCCGAGTTATCCCTGACCCGAGTTACCCCTGATGATTCGGGGCTCTGGACGCCCGAGTTATCCGGGGTAACTCGGGTCCGGGGTAACTCGGGTTCGGATTCCCGAAAAAGGAACCCGAGTTATCCCTGACCCGAGTTACCCCTGATGATTCGGGCTCTGGACGCCCGAGTTATCCGGGGTAACTCGGGTCCGGGGTAACTCGGGTTCGGATTCCCGAAAAAGGAACCCGAGTTAGCCCTGACCCGAGTTACCCCTGATGATTCTGGGGCTCTGGACGCCCGAGTTATCCGGGGTAACTCGGGTCCGGGGTAACTCGGGTTCGGATTCCCGAAAAAGGAACCCGAGTTATCCCTGACCCGATTACCCCTGATGATTCGGGGCTCTGGACGCCCGAGTTATCCGGGGTAACTCGGGTCCGGGGTAACTCGGGTTTGGATTCCCGGAAAAGGAACCCGAGTTATCCCTGACCCGAGTTACCCCTGATGATTCGGGGCTCTGGACGCCCGAATTATCCGGGGTAACTCGGGTCCGGGGTAACTCGGGTTCGGAATCCCGAAAACGAACCCGAGTTAGCCCTGACCCGAGTTACCCCTGATGATTCGGGGCTCTGGACGCCCGATTATCCGGGGTAACTCGGGTCCGGGGTAAGTCGGGTTCGGATTCCCGAAAAACGAACCCGAGTTAGCCCTGACCCGAGTTACCCCTGATGATTCGGGGCTCTGGACGCCCGAGTTATCCGGGGTAACTCGGGTCCGGGGTAACTCGGGTTCGGATTCCCGAAAAAGGAACCCGAGTTATCCCTGACCCGAGTTACCCCTGATGATTCGGGGCTCGCCCGAGTTATCCGGGGTAACTCGGGTCCGGGGTAACTCGGGTTCGGATTCCCGAAAAAGGAACCCGAGTTATCCCTGACCCGAGTTACCCCTGATGATTCGGGGCTCTGGACGCCCGAGTTATCCGGGGTAACTCGGGTCCGGGGCAACTCGGGTTCGGATTCCCAAAAAAGGAACCCGAGTTATCCCTGACCCGAGTTACCCCTGATGATTCGGGGCTCTGAGACAACCGCGTCGCCTCCCCCACCTGGTAAAGGCCGGACCCAATCGCCACGCGCTCGGCAGCAGGTTCGCGCGTGGACCACAGCGCTGTCTCGAGAAAAGATAGACTCCCAGCCGCAGGCGCGAGTCGCCCCGGGCACGCGCCCTTCTGCTCGCGGACCGCGCGGACCAATGCCTTGACGCATCCCACCTGCCAAACCAGACTAACGGACGCGCGCGCGTCGCCCGCCCGCCCCCCCGCCCATCCATGCGAGATATCGGCAGCGGCCGCAATATCCGCGCGAGCGCAACCCCCGACATCCCCACCCTGCCCCGCCACACTTCGCGCGAACACCGCAGCAAACGGGCCGCCGGCAGACCGCGCTCTGGAACCCTTCGCGCCTGCCGTGCAACCACATGCAAGCAGTGCCACACACGGGCAGAAGAGAGCCACACACGGGCTAAATTGTGCCATGCACGGTCGGATGCATGCCGCACACGGGCAGCAATGTGCAACACACGGGCAGAAGCATACCACACACGAGCAGTAGGTGCCACACACTCGCACACGCGTTCCACACACGGGCAGGATTGCGCCAACGTGACACAGTAGGGCAAACACGCGCCTCACAGGCGCACGGGCGGAACCTGCCACACGAGGGCAAACGCACGCCTCACACGCGCACGGTTGCGGCCACCATTGGGCCGACGACGCACGCCTCACAAGTGCCGAGTGTCACACATGGGCAGAACGTGACCCACAGTAGGGCGAACACATGCCTCACACGTGCACGGTCGCGGCCACCATTGGGCTTAAGACACACGCCCCACACGTCCAAAGTGCCGCACACGGGCAGCACGTGGCATACAAATCCAGGCGCACGCCTCACACGTGCGAAAGGCCACATACGGGCACACACACACACACACACACACACGCGCCTCACACGTGCATAAACGCGTAGACAAGCGCGCGATGACGCCCGCACGCACGGCCACGGCGGGCAGGCAAAAGCCGCACCGCAGGTACCCCGCCGAGCGTGGCGGGACACCCACCCAGCCGAGCGCGCGCGGCGCCCCTCCCAGCAATGCGCGGCGCACGCGCCCCTTCGCGCGCTCGCCCATGCAAGTAGGGCGGCCTGCGCGACGCCTCGCGCCCATCAGTTGAGCTCGCGTCGCCCCGCGCCGCTGCGCATCGCGCGGCGCCCCTTGCATTTCGCCCAAGCATGGGGGCCAGAGTGTGGGGGCGCCCGCCCCGCTGTTTTGTGTCCGCGATCAACGTTGCGCGATGATCGCCTACAACAAATGTCCAGCGACAGCTCCATTTGAAAAATATATGTTCGGTCTTATTTACATGTGTTGAAGCCTTTGGTGTGTGTATAAACCGAGGAGCCCCACTTTGAGAAAATTGCAAGCGATAGCTCCATTTGAGCCACACTCCATCCTTCTGGACGTTACATGAAAACACAGACGCGAGGCGCGAAGTCAGGAGCCCCAGATTGAAAAAGACCTGTGTTCAGTAAGAGTAAATGTTGCAATATGTTGAAACGAGTGCGTGCGATGCTAATGCGAAAACATACTTTGAAAAGGAACCACCCTTGAAGCGATTGCAAGACGATACAAAGAATGCTCGCGGAACTAATGCAATAACCATAATTTGAAAGCCATTCACCTCTCTTGCAAACCGTTTAAGTCAAAGTCGCGCGGCACAAAGGGAGCGCCACACTTGGACCCCCTTACCATCCCTGGAACTGCTGCAAGCTGTTAGAACGAATGAGCGCGACACGAAGGCGAAAGCTCCACTTTGAAAACGTCCCCCTCCCATCGCTAAAACTCTTGCGAACTGTTTCAACGACTGCGCGCGGCGGTAAGGCGAGAGCCAGTCTGAAAACGACCCTCACCCATCCATGAAACTGTTGTACGCTAAAACAGAAACAACACGTGCGCGGAACTAACGCGAGAACCATATTTTGAAAACGACGCGCGTTCTATCCTTAAAATTCGCCGACCCAACGGGCCAGAGGCGTGCTAAGATCTCCGGTAACTACTTAACAATATGTCTAGTTCGCGCGCGCGGGGCGGCCCCTGGGGGCCCCCAGACGAAAAGTACCCTGGCTGATCCCCGGCCGGGTCCTGGGCGATCCCCAGGGGGGAGGCTATTTTTCGCCACCCCTCACGAGGATCGTGGCCTCCGAGGGGGTGGCTGCAATCGACTACCCCCCCTCCCGCCCCAAGGCGCCCCCAAGAGCCCCCCAAGAGGCCCCAGGGGAGCCCAAGACGCCGCCGAGGAGCCCCAAGACGCTCTCAAGAAGCCCCCCATTGGCCCCCAAGATGGCCCCAAGAGGCCCTAAATAGCGCTCCAGGGCCAGCGGAATGAGAGAAGCGATTAAATAACCCCAAAAGTCCCAAATTCGGGATCATTAAGTGGTGAAGACGTCTCAAGCGGAACGCCCAGCCCGCTCTACCAACTCGTCGACGCCGTCCTCGTCGTCGCCGTCGCCCTCGTCGTCGCCGTCGCCTTCGTCGTCGCCGTTGTCGTGGTCGTCTTCGTAGTTGCCGTCGTCGTCGTTGCTGCCGTCGTCGTCGTCGTCGTCGTCGACATCGTCGTCGTCGTCGCCGTCGCCGAGGGGAGTCTCTGAGAGCCAACGAGGGCGACGAGCGGCGGGCGAGCCCAGCGCGCTACCGCTCGGTGTTGTCGTCGAGGCCGTTGTCGGCGGGGTCGCCCCCGCCCTCGCCTTCCAGCCACCTGGCCCGCTTGCCGTTCTGCCACTCCCCGCGCCTTCGGGGCGTGAGGGGGGCGGGAGGATGAAGGAGGAAGGGATGGGATGGGACGGGAAGGGAAGGGAAGGGGAGGGGAAGGGGAAGGGGAAGGGGAAGGGGAAGAGGAAGGGAAGGGAGGGAGGGAGGGAGGGAGGTGAGGAGGACATGGAGGAGGTGGAGATGGAGGAGGAGGAAGAGGAGGAGAGACGACGAGGAGGAAGGGAAGGGAGGGAGGGAGAGGGGGCTCTCTGAAGTCCCCAGCCAAACACCACCCCAGCCATCACCAAAGACCACGGGTCTCCGAAGGCCCCGGGAAGCCCGAGAAGGGTCGAAGGCGTCGAAAAACATGTGTCATTGACGCTGGATCCTCCTTGCTCCTCCTCCACCTCCTCCTCCTGCTCCTCCTCCTCCTCCTCCACCTCCTCCTCCACCTCCTCCTTCTCCTCCTCCTCCCTCCTCCTTCCTCATCCTCCACCTCGTTCTCGTCCTCGTCCTCCTCCTCCTTCTCATCCTCGTCCTCCTCCTCCTTCTCCTCCTCCTCCTCATCATCACCACCTCCACCACCACCGCCATCATCATCATCATCATCATCATCATCATCATCATCATCATCATCATCATCATCATCATCATCGTCATCATCATCATCATCATCATCAGCAGCAGCAGCAGCAGCATCATCAGCAGCAGCATCATTACCATCACAAACACTATCACCATCACCATCTCCATCACCATCACCATCATCATCATATCCATCACCATCATCATTTGCATCATTATCAACGCCACCACCACCATCATCATCATCATCATCAGCATCAGCAGCAGCAGCATCATCATAATCATCATCAAAATCAGCATCATGGTCATCAAGGGTCTGGAAGCCAGTGGAACTCCGATCGTGGATTGGCCATCGATATCACCGCCGCCCTCATCAGATAAGGAACCCTCCAGTGTCTGAAGCCTCCTGGGCACGTTCCTTAACGAACGCCCCCGCCGTAATCATCATCACCATCATCATCAGCATCATCAGCATCAGCATCAGCATCAGCATCATCATCAGTATCAACAGTATCACCATCATCATCAGCATCATCATCAGCAGCAGCATACTCACCACCATCATAATCGTCGTCAGCATCAGCATCATCATTATCATAATCAGCAGCATCATCCTCAGCATCAGCATCATCAGCAGCATAATAATCAACAGCATCATCATCAGCATCAGCATCATCAGAAGCACCATCATCATCGTCGTCATCATCATCAGCAGCATCATCATGATCATCATCAACAAAAACAACAACATCATCATCATCAGCGGCAGCAGCATCATCATCACCATCAGCATCAGCAGCATCATCCTGGTCCTCATCCTCATCAGCATCATCATCAGCAGCATCATCGCCATCACAATCGCCAACTCTATCACCATCTCCATCACCATCACCATCACCATCATCATCATCATCAGCAGCAGCATAATCATAATCATCATCGTCGTCATCATCCTTACTGCTCCACCCTCCTGATGTTTACCTGAACATTTCTCCTCCTCCTCCTCCTCCTCCTCCGCCGCCTCCTCCTCATTATCCTTATCCTTCTCCTTCACATTATCCTCCTCCTTCTCTTCCGCCTCCTCTCTGCCACCTGTAGGACTAATGTTACCATCCTTCATTACAATCCTCCGTCCTCCTCACCCTCCCAGACGAGCCACCGACTTGAAGGTGGGGAACTAGTGGGTCGAATGTTTCGCCAAGTTTAGGGGCCTGGAATTATCGTGCCGAGTGGGTGCTAAGTGTTTTGCCCAGTGTGGGCCCCAATTAGGGTTGCCGAGTGTGTTGCCCAGAATTGCGCTGACTGGCTTACCCTGTGCAAGAAGCAAGCAAAGTGTTTCTATTGAGCCACGGCACAGCCTGCGGCTGCCCGTGAGACAGTGGACGCCAACATAGAGCAGCGTCAGAAAGAGTGCCGCTGTCGGCCTCCTGTCTGGCCAGTCCTCCCCGACCAGCGCCTGAGTTCCCAGGACACATGGAAACTGAGTGGCCGATGGACGACGAGTATGATGTTGGCCAAATTCTCAATGGGGGCAGCGGCGCAGAAGGTGCAACCGTGTGGCTGGCCCGATCTTCGCGGCGGGCGGCGAGCTCGAGGCACGTTGCCCGTCCAGAGTCGATGGTGTTGGCGACGGCGGCAGCTTCCCTTGCGCTGGGCGACGGCTCGGACGCGAGGACTCATGGGGCCCGTGCCGAGGCCACCGAGAAGGCGTCTAGTTTGGGGCATGGCGAGGTCATCTAGGCCTTAGGGTACCGAATAGGCCGAGGGACCGTTCATGTTTTTCTCTCAACTGTGGAGTGTATTGGTAAAAGAGGTTGGACCAATTGATGAGGAGGTCGGGGGCGTCTAGAGAAAGGTCCTAGGGAGGCTTTGGAAGCAGCATTCTAGACGGGAAGCACCACAAGTCAAGTGCCCCTTTCTAGTTTTCTCGTGTGGGGGAGTCTGAGAAGCGGGCCTGGAAGGGCTTCTCTGTGATTCCGGTCTGACACAGCGCGATGGCCAGTGACTTGTTGGCGCCTGTATGCCTTGTATCCTTGCACCCTCCTCCCTCGTCCTTCCCCTCCCACCTCCTTGCCCCTGTTCATCTCCTCCTCCTCCTCCTCCTCCTCCTCCTCCTCCTCCTCCTCCTCCTCCTCCTCCTCCTCCTCCTCCTCCTCCTCCTCCTCCTCCTCCTCCTCCCCCTCCTCCCTCCTCCATCTCCAGCATCTCTCTGCTCGCCTCGTCTGGCGGGGGCCCGCAGGGGTGGGGCGGGGGCCGACCCAGCGCGAGGTCTCGCCCGCTTCGGGCTCGCCGCCCGCGAGGGAGGCCGAGTCCCTCGGGGCCCGAGCGCGGGAGCGCCGTCGGCTGGCCGCGCCGTCCCCACGGGGGCCTGGAGCCCTCCCTCGCCCGCGCGCTGCTTCACGCGGGCGAGTGTGGCGGCGCCTGCTCCAGCCGCTGCTGAGCTCCATCATCCATCCCTCCCCCCCTCACTCCCCCTCCTCCCTCCGTCCCCCCATCCCTCCCTCTATTCCTCCACCCACCCACCCCCTCCTCCATCCTCCTCGTTCCTCCTCCTCCTCCCTGTTCCTCCTCTGCTCATTGTCCTTCTACATAACTCCTCCCTGTCGCACCCCGAGGCCTGTCGAAAGGGCGGGCCAGGCGTTTCGCCTGAGACTTCCTCACCACATATGATCCAGCAGCTTACAGGTTGGCAACAGTTCCACAATTGGAGGGCGGGCGGTTTTCGAAATGCCGCTCTCGCCTTAGCCCCGCGCATACTCGTCTCAAAAAATGTGTATTATTTTTACGGATTGAAGGCGGCTCTTTTCAAAATGTGGCTCTTGCCGTAGCACCGCGCACATTCATCTTAAAATCTTGCCTTGCAAAAGATTCACGGATTGAGGGAGGGTCGTTTTCAAACTGTGGTTCTCGTCTTAGCGCCGCGCACACTCGTCTTAAACATGTGCAAGAGGTTCACGGATTGAGGGCGGCCCCTTTCCAAAATGTGGCTCTCGTCTTAGCGCCGCGCACATTCGTCTCAAATGTTCGCACGAGTTTCACGGTTTCTCAAGGTGGCCGCACCAGAAAGTATCTTTTGGAACGGTTCAGGATTGCCAGGGCGCAACAGTTACGTTGATCCGAGAAGTTGACGTCCCAGGGATGGCGTTCTGGCACGATTCAGGATCGTCAGGACGCAACAGTCAAGTTGATTCGTGGCGTTGGAGTCCCGAGAACGGTGTTTTGGCACGCTTCAGGATCTTTGAACGGTTATCTCCCGACGGGCACTTCCCCGTGAAAATGAACCCTTGTAGGGGCCTGTGAGGAGAGAGCTTGGAGGGAGGGTTTCTTCCAACATCTTTGACGAGGCTTGAATGTACACTGGTGCTGTGCTGTGCTAGTGGCTGTGGCTCGTAGCGCACGTACAGCCACCTGTCCTGCCCCTCCACCTCGGCTGAGGGCCCGAGGTGGAGGAGGGGTTCATCAGGCTCCTCCTCCTCCTCCTCCCCCCTCCTTCTCCTCCTTCTCCCCCTCCCCCTCCTCCCCTCCCTCCTCCTCCTCCTCCTCCTCCTCCTCCTCCTCCTCCTCCTCCTCCTCCTCCTCCTCCTCCTCCTCCTCCTCCTCCTCCTCCTACTCCTCCCCCTCCTCCTCGAACCTCCCTCCTCATAACTCCTGATCGCCTGCAGGTGCCGTCGGCAGAGAAGTAGGCGCCCTCCCCGTGTTGCCTGCCCTCCTGCCACAGGCCCGAGTACCTGCGCCCGTCCGGCCAGACGAACACGCCGTGGCCATGCTCGCGGCCGTGTTTGTTTTTGCTATGCTTGTCTCATGCCTGCCGACAGAGCGCCAAGAGGAGCTCCTCCTCCTCCTAATCCTCCTCATTATCACAAGCAGCAGCATCATTAACATCGACATCAACATCCTCATCCTCATCCTCATCCTCATCCTCATCCTCATCCTCATCATCATCATCATCATCATCATCATCATCATCATCATCATCATCATCATCATCATCACCATCATCATCATCATCATCATCATCATCATCATCATCATCATCATCATCATTATCATCATCATCAGCATCATCATCTTCATCCTCCTCATCATCACAAGCAGCAGCAGCATCATCATCATCATTATCATCAGTATCATCAATAGCATCATCATCATCATCATCATCATCATCATCATCATCATCATCATCATCATCATCATTATGATCATCATCATCATCATCATCATTATGATCATCATCATCATCATCATCATCATCATCATCATCATCATCATCATCATCATCATCGGCATTATCATCAGCATCATCACCATCATCATCATCAGCAGCAGCATAATCATCATCGTTATCAGCATCAGCATCATCAGCAGCATCGTCATCATCATCAATCATCGTCACCATCATCAGCATCATCATCAAAATCATCAGCACTATCATAATCATAATCCCCATCGTCATCATCACCAGCACCATAATCGGCATCATCATCGTCATCGTCATCGTCGACTTGCTCGTTACCCTCAGCATCAACATTATCATCATCAGCAACATCATCTTCATCATCATCAGCATCAGATTCATCATCATCACCATCATCATCATTATCATCATCAGCATCATCAGTATCATAATCATCAGCAGCATCAGCATTATCACCATAAACAACATCAGCAGCAGCAGCATTAGCATCAGCATCAACATCAGCATCATCATAATCATCCTCAGCATTATCATCGTCCTCAAAAGCATAATCAGCATCACAATCATCAGAACAATCAGCATCATCATCAGCATCAGCATCGTCATCATTATAATCATCATCAGCATCATCATCAGTACCATCGGCATCATCAGAATCATCAGCTCCAGCATCATCATCGCCATCATCAGCATCATCATCATCATCATCATCATCATCAGCGTCATCATCATCATCATCATCATCATCATCATCATCATCATCATCATCATCATCATCATCAGCATCGTCAGCATCACCATAGTCGCCATCGTCATCGTCGTCACCCTCGTCATTCTCGAAATAGGCTTGCCCTATAGGATGCCCCCCCCCCCCCTAATTCCTATGCCCCCACCCCACCCTAAATTCCTATGGCTATGCCTATGGCGATGCCTATGCCTATGCCTATGTCTCCCCCCTAATTCCTATGCCTACGCCTATGCCTATGCCTATGCCTATGCCTATGCCTATGCCTATGCCTATGCCTATGCCTATGCCTACGCCTATGCCTATGCCTATGCCTAACTATGCCTATGCCTAAACACCACCTCTGAGCGCTCCTAGCACCCCCCCCCCTTTTCCAATGACCCCCCCCCCACTTTTCCAATGGCACTTGCTCGCTTGCTCTTGCGTGCTTGCTCTCGCTTGCTTGCTCTTGCTTGCCCTTGCTTGCTTGGACTTGATCGCTGGCTCTTGCTTGCTTGTTGTTGCTCGCTTGCGCTTGCTTGCTTCCGCTTGCTTGCTTGCACTTGCTTGATGTTGCTCCTCCTGTCCTCCCCCCGTCCTGGTCCCGTCCTCCTTTCGTCCTCCTCCCAGCCTCCTCTCGTCCTCCTCCTGTCCTCCTATCTATTTGGAGTCAACGCTGGCTGATATGATCTTTATCATCAACCATCTTCGTCATCAACAACATCATCACGACCACCATCATCATCATCATCATCATCATCATCATCAGCATCAGCAGCAGCATCATCATCATCATCATCAGCATCATCATCATCATCATCATCATCATCATCATCATCAGCATCATCATCATCATCATAATCATCACCAGCATCAGCACCATCAGCAGCGTCAGCATCAGCATCAGCATCAGCAGCAGCATCATCACCATCATCATCAGCAGCAGCACCATCAGCATCATCGTCATCGGCATCATCATCGGCATCATCATCAGCATCATCGGCATCATCAGCATCATCATCGCCAGTATCATCATCATCGTCATCGTCATCGTCCTCATCAACATCACCATCATCATGACCATCATCAGCATCGTCATCATCATACGCCAACACCAGCAGCAACATCGTCATCACCAGCCGCATCCTGATCCTCATCAGCTTCAGATCACCATCAGCAGCAAAAAACGTCGTAATCTCAATCGCCAACACCATGATAAGCATCATCAGCATCATCATCAGCAGCACCATTGTCGTTAGCATAGGTATGATCAACATCATCATCATCATCATCATCATCATCATCATCATCATCATCATCATCATCAGTCTCATCATCATCAACATCGCCAATAGCATCGTCATCGTCATCGTCTGTACCGGCAGCATCATCATCAGCATCATCACCACCACCCTCGTCATCATCATCACCACCACCGACACCGTCCTCCTCATCATCAGCATCGACATCATCAGCAGCAGAAGCCTCCTCATCATCACCATCAGCATCACCATGTTCATCACTATCATCATCGTCGTCAGCATCACCGTCATCATAATCAGCATCATCGTCATCAGTATCTCCATCCTCGCCGTGTCGCCCGTCTCCTCTTGTCTCCTTCCCCGCCCTCTTCATCAACATCATAAGAACGTCAACGCGTCGGGCCCTAAAAAAACCTACAAACAGAGGCCAAAAGTGACGAAAAAACTCACGTCGTGATTTTTTTGTCACAGCGCGAGAGGGTATGGGTTCATCGCCCCCGCAAAACGCGACGCCCACCTTCCTGTGGCACTCTTCGAGCCGGGTCGATCGGCGAATGGCCCCATGGGCCGGGAGCTGGGCGAAACGGCCCAGCGTGAAAACAAACCAAGAAAAGCAGCGCCCAGACCTCAGGGTCAGCGCCCCAAGACTTAGGTCGGGCGTGTCCCCCTACAGGCAGATTCTGGAGGAAAAAATACCAAACCAATATTCAAAAATATACCCAAATACTCAATACATCGTCCCCAGACTATTGTTGCACTATTTCTGAATATTCTTCCTGCAAAAGACACGCCCGACTTAACCATAGACGTACGTCTCGACCCCCGTTCCCCGGCACCGATTTTTCATCCCGAGTCGTTTTCGGGCGGCCCCAGGGCCTGACGATGAGTATCGCTTATCCGATCCCATCCCCAGCGGCGTGGCCTGGTCCCCACTGGCCGATTTACCCCCCTGGATGGGGATATAACTCGTTCCCTTCGGGTTTCGGGGGGTGTATAAACAACTGGGGTGGTAATTTGGTGGGGGTCTCGAAGGGGATGGGGATGAGGATGGGGATCGGTTAAAAGATACCGAAGCGAAGGGCCCCCAGAGGCGGAAAAAAACAGAAAAACATCCCTCGTGATCTTCCCACCAGCTCCAGAGCGCCCGGCGGGGGGCTCCAGGGCCCCCCCCCCCAAAAAAAAACTGGTCATCGTGATGTTCTCGCTGCGCGAGGGGGCCTGGGGCTTTCAAGGGGCCACGCAGCGCCCGGAGCTCGGGGTCCTCCGTGGCCGAAGGAACGCATCTGCATTCGCAGCCCCGCGGGCCAGGTCTCCAGGCCGCGACCCCGCGAAATCCGGGGCGGCTCTTTCGCGGCTGCGCCGCGCAGAACGCATCCATGCTCCTGCGCCTCCGCGGGATCGCGCCCCAGAGCCCAAACCTTGGGGCCCTGGAAATGGGCACCAGCACCGGCACAGCCCGAATACCACCACCACCACCACCGAGATCGGGAGCATCTTCCCTCGATGAAGGCATGCCGCCGATCTTGGCGCTGGCGCCCGCTTCCGGGTCTCCCAACACGGCGGAGGCGTGGATGTGAATACGCTCGCCGCTCGCGAAAACCATCGCAGAGCTCCCGGAACCGCTTCCTCCAGGACCCGCCCCCCCGAGGCGAGCGACCCTGCACGCCACACGCCGCCGGGCAAGTCCAGCCGCACGCACGGAAAGGCGGGCCGACCTCGTAGGACCGGGGGCCACAAACGCATGGCCCGGGCGCAAGCGGGGAGGAGGAGGAGGAGGAGGAGGAGGAGGAGGAAGAGGAGGACGAGGAGGACGAGGAGGAGGAGGAGGACAATGACAAGGACAAGGACGAGGACAAGGACAAGGACAAGGACATGCGCACAGGGGGGTGCAACGTCAAAACACCTACTCTGGCGTCATACGCACTTCTGCAAAGATTCCGTGTGATCGGTCGTGCAACAGCCCTGCCTTCTTTCTCACTAGGACCGGCAGGGGGCATACCACGTAGCTCCAGGGCCGAGCCCCGAGCTGGCCTCGTAAGAGAGGCTCGCTACCTTACGCTCACGATTCCCTGCGGGTCAGTGCGGGGGGAGCGGCCGCTGGCCCTCCCGCGTGCCCTAGGGGAGGGGGCGCGCGGGCTTAGCAGAGCGCCCAAGCCAAAGGGAAGCAGACGACGACACGACCTCTCAAAAGGAGGAGAGGGGGAAGGGATGGAAGGCCCGTGACCCCAAACTGTTGCCGGGGGGCTGCTGATTCTACTGTTCTAATTATATGCTCCCCTCTCCCGCTCGGCTCACTTCTCGATCTGGCCGACATTTGCCCCATGCATTGTCGCATCTGTACTCTGATACCCTGTTGTAGTATCCCACCGACCCCCCTCAACTGCACGCGGGGTAGAGGATACCGGTAGTCACGGTATATGGTAGGGCCGTCGAGGAGCACACTGGTGGAATTCATGCTGATCATTTTCTATTTCGACACCTTGCAGTTGTGTACCTGTCGGCACTCCAACAAGTATTTCCCACTGCGATGACAGTGCGATCACTCCGTGATACACATCCTGTATGCCCTGAGTTGCACTCCGAGAGACCTCTTTAATGCATATCATGGCCGCCTGTGGCACTTCCAGCTTGCCCACAGTAGCACTCCGAAAAAACTTCGCGAATTCTTCCCTTGGCATTCCAGCCAGCAGGCTCCAGTGGGTGCACTCACAGGTGGCCGCTGCAGGAGGTGGCCGTAGTCGTCTCCTCCGACTTGGGGTAGCCGAACTTTGCCTCGAAGATCTCGGTGCCGTCCAGCAAGGTCCGCGTGCTGTCTCGTAGCTTCTGGCGCTCCTTGAACCTATTCACTTCCTCTGGGTCGAGGTTGTCCTCGCTGCTCAGCACCTTCATGGCGACCTCCATGACTTTGTTTCATGACTTTGCGGGG